ATGATGTAACATTTAATGTTCTTTGTAATACATCTTAATTTTTGTTGATCAATAATTAAGTAATTACGAATTTTTTTTGATGAAATGGTAATACTAAGCTTTTCAGTTACTACTTGTAAAAGTTTTTCCATTTCTTGTTTTTCGTTTATGTGATTTATTTTTTCGTTGGATGTTTCTTGTAGTTTTTGTAACTCCTTAAATCTTTTTCTTAAATTAAGAATCTCTTTTTTCCATTGTCGTGGATTTGGTGTTTCTATTATGATATCTTTTCCTTGTGTTATCACATGTTCAATTACTGATACAGGTAATTGTCCATGTTCTATTTGCTCATATCGATCTATTCCGCTTCCTAATATTACTGTATCTGGTATGTCATTTAAGTAAAATAGTTGTACTTTGTTGTCTTTTGTGGTTTCATACAGTTCTTCCCATGAATTTCCTGCTGCAAACCAGTACATTGTGTCTATGTATATAGCAATGTCTGGTTCTTTTGCTATTTTCCGTAGTTCTGTTCATTTTGCGCTGTAACAGTTTTTTGATGCGCTGTTTTTTACAAATATTTTTACTTTATCTTGTGGATTATTTCTTTTGTGGACTTCATTATTGTTTATTATTTGGTTCCAGTTGTTATCGAATTCTTTTTGTGTTATTGGTACTTTCTTCCTTTTTTCATGTTTTTCTACTTCTTTCGTGTCTTTTCCTGTTTTGGATCCGTAATGTATAATTACTCCTTGCATTCCTTTATTTCTTGCATAATCTATTTCTTCTAATATTCTTGTTAGGTTTGGTTTGTGTGTGATTCCATCATTTCTGATATATTCTTTTCCTGCTTTAGCTATTGATAGGCTTGTGGATATGTGCACATAGTCATTTCTGTGTGTTCCATTATTCCAATTTTCGGGGTATTGTCATTCTGTGAATCCCTTTTTTTCTATATTAGGTCTGGATAAGAATATCTGTTCAAAGTCTTGTTCACAATTATATTTTTCTTGCCAGTTATGTGTTATTTCTATTTTGAACATTTGTAAGGGTTTATCAGTTATTGCAAATATTTTTTTGTTAAAGTATAGCCACACAAAATTTTATTAATAATGTGTAATACAAATTCATAATTTTTATTCACCCGTTAATATAAATTACAAAAAGATGCAACTAATCACTTGTGTGATTGCTGTGATTACATATTAATATTAATCATTTTGCTATCTAATATGGTTTCTATGTAATTTTTTTCTGTATATTGTTACCATTTCATCAAAAAAATTCATAATTACTTAATTATTAATCAACAAAAATTAAGATGTATTACAAAGAATATTAAATGTTACATCATGTAACTCAATGATGATCAAATTAATTTG